GAATTAAAAAAAATGAAAGATAATGAGCGAATAGCAACAATGCAAAATAAAAATAGGGTGCTCTCAAACAAAAAAAATTTTCTGTTTTAAATGAAGAAATAAATAACAAAGTCTCGCTCTTGTCATTGATTATAAATGAAAAGAACTACAGTCTACACGGAATTTTTCAGTTTACATATGATGTATTAGAATATTAAGATTTAAGGATATATGTGAGTTCCACATTTCAGCTCCGCAGGAGCCGCGCTAACAAGCTTTTTTCATTTATTTTTACCAAGATACACTTATCTTCGTGCTAGTTAACTAATGAAGGCATAGGAAGATGTTCATTTTATACTTTATCACGTACAGAACTCTCGAGCAAATGAAATAACGTACGTGTTAATAGATAAAATTGTAATTTTATTCTAGAAAAAAATTTGCTTTCATTCAGTTATAAAATAATAATTATTTACAATGAATGCAAGTAGTCAATCAACAATTGAATATCTTAATTTCATAAGATTTCAATTAAATCGTTATATTCCAATAACATGTCTTATTCTTGGAAGTATTGGTCATATATTAAATATATTAGTTTTTACTCGTCCATTAATTCGAAAAAATCCATGTTCAATTTATTTTGTTAGTGGTAGTATTGCAAATTTTATTTCTCTTTATGTTGGTATAATAACACCTTTTCTTGGAACATATAATCTTGATCCAACAGAAACATCTAATATTTTATGTAAAATACGTTTTTATCTTCGTTATTCAACAATTACACTTTCAACATGGTTTATTCTCTTAGCATGTATTGATCGATTATTTTCAACTTCTAATAATATTAATATTCGATTATGGAGTTCAATATATTTAACTAAACGTATTATAATTTTAGCTATTATTATTTGTCTTATTTGTCCTTATACACAAGTATTTTATTGTTATACAATATCTCAACGTGCATCGTGTACATATACAAATCAAACATGTAAATTGTTGAATGATATTATTTTACTTATATGTAATTCTGGTTTACCACCTATATTAATGATATTAATTAATATATTAACAATTCGTAATGTCAAATCTTCAAATCATATTGTTGGTGGTGATTATTGTTTTCGTCGTCGTCGTCGTCGAGATGTACAATTAATACGATTATTATTTATACAAGTATTTT